GATGCGGGACTCGATCCCGGGACTCCAGGATCATGACCCGAGCCGAAGGCAGTCGCTTAACCAACTGAGCCACCCAGGCGCCCAACATTGCCTCTTGTTTAAACAGAGCTGTGGACGAAAGGTTCTAGGGCCCCTGTATCAAAGCCAGAGTAAATTTAGGGCAGAGGCTCCATCCGGGAATGTGTTTTCTCCACCTTTAAAACAAACAGACCCGAGGTGCTGCAGCTAAGAGCTATGGTCCTGGAAGGGCCCTACCTGAGAATGGGATAGGACGGGTTGGTGACCCTGCACCACCCCTTCTGTAGAGTGTTTTGTAAAGGCCCTTCAAGGCCAGGGCTTTTGTCTTGAGTCCTTCTTGGGAATGCTCAGAGCTCTTAAGTCCACTTGTGCCCTGCACGGCCCAGCAACCATATACCTCGGTACGGGGACACACTGCAGAACACACCAAGGCCAACCATGGCCGTGGGACTCTAATTCAAAGTCTGTACTGTGGGATCCTGCTGCCTTTGTGTTATGAAGACACACCTAAATGCATAGAAAAGAGACTTCAGACAAGCAAAATTATCTTCAAGTAGAAATATTTAACCAAAGAAGGACACAAAAGCCATTCCAAATAGTAGAGATGAGTGTCAGCTGGTACGAGGTTCATCCACTCTACCCTAATCACCCACTGGATGAGAGGAGGCAAAATATTTTCACCAAGATTACTTCTCACAAATTATGAATTTAAATCACAAACAGGCTTCAAATAGGAATAATAACTGTCATTGTAGAATGCTTATTATATGTCAGGATCCATTATCCTCATTTTGCAGATGTAGACTCTGAGAGACAGAATTATGACATATGTATTTTGCTCAAGTTTACAGAGGCAGTTTGATATCCAAACATGTATTCTCAACCATAAACCAAATGTGGCAGGTTACAAAAACAACAGCTTGGCGTGGTAGGGAAAGAGTTGACCATTATTGTGCATGATAGGGGTTAAAAACAAAAACAAAAAAACCCAAAACAATTTTTTTAAGCATTGGAACTCTCTTTGCCTATTTATTTATTTATTTATTTATTTATTTATTTATTTATTTATTATTTAGAGGCATGGGGTGAGAGACAAAAATCTCACGAGGAACACTATCTCATACAACAGATCAAAGTAGAGCTTTTCTGGTGGAAGCCAGGCAGAGGCCCTTCCCATCCTCACAACCCCTCCTCCACCGCACTCTGGTCCCGCCCTCTATTCATTCATAGTGAGCCGTACTACCATGCAGGTCTCTGCTCTCAATATTTCCAAACCCAAGTCCATTCCTTGCCTGCTACCCACCTGGGATAACGAAGAACTTCTTCCCCAGTTCCGGTCATGAGAGACCAGGGCCAAACATGGATGTGTCCTGGAGGGGAATGGTCCTGGGGGTGCACAGCCTTTGAAAGATGGGTGGAATACTTGAAGTAGACAAGTTTTACTGAGCATCCAAAGTTACAGTTAGTAGTTTAAAAAAAAGGTCGGAGAATTGTTTAGAAAATGTTGTAATAGGGACTCCAGGGAGAGTGTTGTGTCTAAATACCTGGTGTCTACTTACATAAAAGCCCAGCCCAACTTGGAATTGTGTGCAGGCACCATCATGTACATTAAGCATTAATGGGTTGGCATTAACTCTAAGCCTAAGGCATTCATGGATTAGGTGTATTTTAGGGGGAGGGAGCACAGTGCCAACCCAGCTCTAGCTCATGGAGTTCCTACACCCCACCGCCTCCACAACTGAAGACTTCGGTGCCCAAGGCTTTGGTAGCTCCATAAAAAACCACCATCCACAGCACTCTCTATGGAGGGACCTCAGGTGGATCTGTCCAGGGACCAAAGTGGCAAGTAACTCGCTGCTCTCTCCATGCCATCCAAAAGGCCTGCAGCTGCCATTCTATGGCACTGAATTGGCTGGGCCAATCAGGGTCAGTGTTGAGAGGTCGGCATATCCAGACTTTTCTACCTGGGCATTGAACTTCTGGAGTGGCAGGAATTCAAAGGGCCATGTTGGTCCCTTTTAGGTGGTCCATTCAATCAATGGCTGGTTTGACCCATTCAGTGGTGTTGGTGGAGGGTGGTTCTCACCTTTATTTTTTTTTTTAAAGATTTTATTTATTTGACAGAGAGATAGAGAGAGAGCACGAGTAGGCAGAGCGGCAGGCAGAGGGAGAGGGAGAAGCAGGCTCTCCGCTGAGCAGGGAGCCGGATGTGGGGCTCGATCCCAGAACCCTGGGATCATGACCTGAGCCGAAGGCAGATGCTTAACTGACGGAGCCATCCAGGCACCCCTGGTTCTCACCCTTAAAAAAAAACACTTTAGCCTGTAATCACTTTTGACATTCTAGTAGACATCTTCAGTCTCTTTTCCTTTGCATCTTTTTTAACATAGCTAAATTCACAATGTATATTTGAATTTGTGCCTTGTTTTTCCTTTACTGACTTCTATCATAAGCATTTTCCCATGTATTAATTACTTTTTATAAGCAACAGGTAATCTTGAGTGAGGTAAGTAAGCTTATCTGCACCCTTGGTTTCTTCATGTGTAGAATATAGACAATTGTATCATGCAACAGTCATCTGGAAAGCTTTTAAAACACAGATTGCTGGGCCCCACCTCCAGAATTTCTGATTCAGTGGGTCTGGAGTAGGGCCTGGGAATTTGCACGCCCAACAAGTTCCCAGGAGATGCTGATGCTGCCAGTCAGGAGACCACACTTGGAGAACCAGTGAAATGTGGAGATCGAGTTGTGGGATTTCCAGGGTCACTGCTGGTTTCAAAATCTAAGGGTTTGCATATTTTTCAAATTCTTTGAAAAAACCCAACCAACTTTTAAAACACATGACTTTTCTAAACTTTAACAAAACCTCATGATTTTTTTTAAATACAAAAGAGTATCATCTACCATTTAAAAGTAATTGTTTCCACTTGTAACTCATATGCATTCCATACTTGCTTCTCTTTGAAGTTACCTGTATTTTTAAAAGGATATCTTTAAAGGACAGTTAGACTTATATCTAATACTTTATTGTTTTTCTTTACATAGTTCCATATGTATTGAAGAGCTGTGCAGAATTTATAGAGACTCATGGCATTGTGGATGGAATTTATCGGCTTTCAGGAGTCACCTCAAATATACAAAAGCTAAGGTAAGCTGAAAGAACAGCCCCCAAAAGAATTCTCCCGCGATCCTTCCTCTGTGCATAACTCCGCCAGTGCTGGGACTATTAAAAACCTGAAGGGGTTGAGGGAAGGCTGGCAGAGCAGATCAGTGTGATGTTTTCAGATGCCAAAGTGTTCTTAATCTAATCAGGAAATCCTCTAGTCTGATGTAATTCTTTCCAACAAAAGCTCCTGAGGGTTTTTAATCTGTTTCTTTGTCTTGCACCAGGTTTATCCTTCTTAGGTGGATTCAGTTGAACTCAAATGATTTAGATCACAAGTTAGAACAATGTGATTTATTATTCATTTGCCTACCCAGAGCTCAGTTAGGTCCCTGTTCAGAACTTGGAGATGACGCGAGTTTTTCTGTTGACACAGACTCAACACTTGACAGTTCACTTGGTCAGGAAATAAAAAATCTACACGACAGTGCATTTCTCTCAATGAGGTTGATATTTTAAAAAATTATGGGTAGATGAACTATTTCCAATTCTATAGATTTATCCTAAACAATTCTAAAATATATCCTAGAATTTGGGGGAAGAAATTTCTATCACATTGAATTAAGAGTACAATAACCTTGGGGCGCCTGGGTGGCTCAGTCGCTAAGCGTCTGCCTTCGGCTCAGGTCATGATCCCAGGGTCCTGGGATGGAGCCCCGCATCAGGCTCCCTGCTCTGCGGGAAGCCTGCTTCTCCCTCTCCCACTCCCCCTGCTTGTGTCCCCTCTCTCGCTGTGTCTTTCTCTGTCAAATAAATAATTAAATCTTTAAAAAATAAAAAAAAAAGAGTACAATAAACTTCACGCAAAACACAGATATGTATGTGTGTGTTTTATATGTATTATATATATAAAATAAAGGGAGTAGATATATAGTATATTTACAGAGTGTTTTATCAGGTGTTATTTTTATATATTTCTATGTTTAATTATAAGTGTAGACTTTTAAAACAATAAAAACATTCATGTTACCATTAAATTGAATAGATTGTACAGTTAATTCATCTTCTGTCTTCTTCCTCTGATTGGGTTTTTGGCCCCTCCTCCCCCCATCGCAATTGTAATGACATTCCACGAAAGGAATAAGACATCCTTTTTACTCCTGGAGAAGTGGCGACTGTTAAAAACTAATTGCTTTGTTGCAACCATCAATTTTAACAGATCTATGTACTTACATAATTTCACTAATTTACCTGTGTGACGTTTTTTAGAGTTTCAACAGCAAATACTTTCTAATGTTTTACCCTTAGCTCTGAAATAGACGACACAGTAGTTGGTATGGTGGGAGAACACTTGGGCGATAGCCAAATTCTTTTTCATTAAAGGACAGACCTAAGCCTCCGCAGGGAAATTTTGGCTAAATAAATGGATAAGCTCCAAATTTGTTCTTGTTCTGCTCTTCTGCTCTCTTAAAAACAAAAACAAAAACAACAAAAAGCTGAAGAAACAAAAAACACACTGGTGAATTTATAAGGCGCTGCAAGGTTTTCTTTTCAGGGCCCCACCCAGCTCCTTTCAGGTTCAGACAGCATCAGGGATTTCCCCACTCTTTGTTAAAGGGCCAGAACCAGGTGACAGGAAACCGGGCAGGGGGCCGTTTTTGAAATGCTGGCTCTGTGAGTCCCGTTGAGTTTGCCACTATTCGGCTGACCAGATGAATTCTCTCAAGAAACTTAACTTCTCCTCTATATGAAAGCTCCAATTTGTCACTTTTTTAAACAGGTTTTTAACTTGTAAGTATATATTATTTGAAGCAGTGTATTCACATCACCTTGGTCAAGAAATATTTTTCAGTTAGAAACAAGGCCTGGAATCTGATGTTGTTCCCAAACACCTCACTGTACATTGTTCATAAGAAGATATTTATAATCTCATCTATCCTGTGAGAGTCACTATCAGGCAGCTTGGAAGGGTTCGAGTCTCCAGATAAACAAGTTTGTTGACATGAGTATATGGAGATGAATGATAACAATCTGACTCACCCTGGTTTTGGTCTCTCCTCCAAGAAAGAGAAGTTCATTTAGAACAATCTTTTGGAAGAACTGAAATCTCAACAGGCTTTTTTTGGCAACAAAAATTCATATTTCCCCACTGTTCATAACTGAGACTGGGACATAATGCCCTGAGAAATCCATTTGTAAATGGGCATGTTTTTCCAGTGACAGCAGCTTTCACAGAGAAGATCCAGACCTGAAGTGGAAGACTTCCTGGAGCTTCCTTGTGCCAGGAAGAGAAGGTCATCTTGATGGAGGTCAAAAACAGAGTCAGATCAGCAGTTTAGGGTCTTTTTACCCTTAAGCAGCCAAGCAGCTGCTGACATGGAACACATGCTCTCGGGATTGTTATGTCTCTGTCTGTGTTGTTTCAGGCAAGAGTTTGGCTCAGATCAATGTCCAGATCTGACAAGGGAAGTGTACCTCCAGGACATCCACTGTGTGGGCTCACTCTGCAAGCTCTACTTTAGGGAGCTGCCCAACCCCCTCCTGACTTATGAGCTCTATGAGAAATTCACGGTGAGTGTTTGGATTTCCATTATGGTTATTGGGTGGGACTCCTAGATGGGCCAAGGAGAGTTTCAACACTAAAATAACAATAATAAAATTCACCAGATGGTTGACATTATCTTAGCCAGGTAATGGAAGTAGGATACTATAGTGAGGAAAGTAAGGTAGTGGGTCCATTGGCTAAATTTTTCCTTTCTTAGATTTTCAGAATCATGTTTATTTGTTTCAAGAGCTGGATTAGAATTATCTCCGTGTTTACTTAACCAAATGTGCCTCATTGTATAGGGGGAAGCTAAGCGCCAGAGATGTGAAATGACTGGCCCAAGGTCACACAGCAGGACAGGAACCTAAGACTCCAGATGTACACCTACAGCTAGTTCATTTTCATCAGGCTTCTCCTTTTGTAGTTCTTTTGGGGGTTGGGGAATGAGGTAGGCAGGTAGAGAAGGGAGAGAGAACAAACCCAAGTCAAGGGAGAGATCAGGAAGCTGGAAAGAGAAAAGAATCTGGGAAATGCAGCCAAGAGGAAGAGCAGGCTGGGCCCATGAGTTGGGTTGGTGGAGGGTGGATGGGTAGAATCCCTTACTAGCACCTGTGTGGTCACCAAATAGGGGCACCTGTAGGAAAAGTAGAAAGAATAAATGCTTACAGGATGTCTGTAGAGATAGCATTAAAAATCAGGCTTGAACGTTTGGTTGCTGGGGTGGAGGTGCAGAGTAGGTGGAGAGATGGGTTTAACCAAGATTGAGGTTCATCTAATGAAGGGGGGTGAGGAAGATGAGGGTGTATGCAGGAGAGTGATTGAAATAGTTGACCATGGAATTTTGTCTGGATAACAGGGGAAGTGAGGCCATAGGCACTGAGTGACAGTGAAAAAGTATTATCGATGGATTATTCATCCAATGAGGTCAATAGACTGTTAGAGTCGGATGGTCAGGGGGGTGCTTGCAATTAAGATTATGGAGGAATTGCAATTATTGATAAGGACCAGGTCTAGGCTCTAACGTGGGAAGCAATCTTTCTCATGGCTCCTGTAATAAACTTATTCTGAGCATATAAAAGTTTGTTCACTTCCAAACGATATAGGAATAAGTGGATGCATTTTAAAAGTTGGGTTTGGACCATTAAAATATATTTAAGAGTTTTCAATAATAGAGGGAAACACTCATAATGATAACCAGAAAAGAAAAGATGCATAATATTACATTAAAATATGATTAAAATATGATTAAAAAGAAAGATGTTCAAAGGATTAATAGCCATTTATTTCAATGATGAGATTATAGTTTTCCCTGCTTCTTCAGACTTTTACTTTCAAAATCTCATCTACTAAAAGTATGTTAATTTTTTAATGAAAAAAAATTAGGCCAAAACACAAAGAACTTGGGCCTAGAGGAGAAGCCACATATGCAAGCTGATGTGAAGTGTCAGGGGTTTGTGGACCCTAAGGCTGAAGGCAAATGAGCCTCCACTCTGAGTGGCTAAGTCAAATATAATGGCAGCCTCTAGCCATTGAAACCATAGAGGAGTCTTTCCTGGGAACCAGGAGGAAAAGTTGTGGGTCTCACGTGAGTCGGCCAGATTATAATCTGTGATTATTTCCTCATTTTAAAAGTAATCATATTTGGTAACAGTTTGGAAAATGGAAGGAAGTAGTAAAGAACCCTTTGTCTCCTCTCTTAAAAACCAAGGACAGCTACTGTTAACATGTGGGTATTTCTTTCACTCTTTTATTCCTCGCTTAGTGTTTTTGTTGTATTTTGTTTTCCCAAATCAAAATGGGATTTTATTGCAAAAATGAAAGCAATACAGGAGAGTGTAAAGGAGAAAGTATAAATCGCTGGAAATCCCACACCCCAGGCATATCCCCTGCTAACATTTCAGGAGACATCATTACAGATCTCTCTCCTTTTCCCTCTCTCTCTTTCTCTCTCCCCACTTTCCCTTCTCAGTACTATATATATCGCTGCTTTGGAATGTTAACTCAACAATGTGACCATCTTTCTGTGCTAACAAATAGAGAAACACTATTTTTACAGAGTATTTTCTCATATGCGCAATGAATTTCTGAAGCTAGTTTCCTACTGATGAACATTTTGACTTTTTGTTTCTCAACACTTTGATTTTATAATAATAAATATTTTTGTATATATATCTTTATCCTTTTCTCTGTTTATATCTTTAGGAAAAAAATCATAGATTTGGATTTATTGAGTAAAAAGCTCTTACTTAAAATTTTGTTATGTATTGTCAAATTGTTCTCCAGAGAGATAAGAATGGTCTTTTCCCTGCAGCCTCACTAACACTCAGTATTTCTAATTTGTTAAATTATTTGCCAATCTGAATCAACCAAAAATATCTTATTTTTGTTTTAATTTGCGCATAAGACTTTATTGTCTTTTTCTACATAGCTTTAATCCTTTTATCAGTATAATAATACATCTTAGAATATGATAGAATAGAATAGCATCATGTTAAAGAACAGAATGAGTCTAATTTATTTTAACTAAATTTCATTTTATGATAGCTGGGAGTAGATAAGAATTCTTATCTGGAAACTTCAGAAATATGTTTTTTTGTTAAATCTTGCTTATAGGCTCAGAACAAAACCCAGATTTATCTCTTCCCACTTTTGTTCCCTAAAATTGTTAATCGTTCTCTTCTCCCACAGCAACAGAGTAATACCAAAGCAACATTATTTTCAACTTGTCATCAGATTTCCAGGAAATCTAACATGGTATTAATACTAAAAAATAAAATAAATGTTCTGCTGTGCAACTGATTTGTACATAAGTAGGACCTAGTGAAGTTAACTCTGTTGAAAAATTTATCATTTAATTGATTTCTTTGGTCACAATAACAAATTATGATAATATAAGCAAACCTTCAGGAATATGGAAATAGCTCTGTTAACATTGTCACACATTCTTAAAATGATTTATTTAAACCCACTTGCACAGCTAAAGTAGAATACTATCTCAGTGGAATAACAGATAATAATGAGTTTATTTATTGAGGACTTACTATATGATAAGCTTTTTAAAATATTATTTCATTTAATCTTCAGAATAACTCTATAAAGTAGGTTTTATAATCTCTTACAGATGAGTGTATTACAGATCAGGCTCAGAGACACTCTTGTCTGGGTTTGTACGGTTAGTAAATAGAAGGAAAGATTTAATATTCTGTCTCAAAACTCTATTTTAAAACAGAGTTAACAGCTCCTAAGTAGGCCCAGGTAGTCAGTAACTTAATATGAGATAAAGAAAGCATCCCAGGCTAACAAAGAATTCAATAAACAGTATTAGGAAAATTGACTATTGGGAAAGGAGGAAAGTCAAGTTACATTCTTACCATTTAACAGATTTCAGGGGAAAGCTTTCTAACAACAAAAGCAAAAGGAAAAAGATCACCAGAGACAAATGTAACAAACTAAACTACACATAATTTTTTTCTGTATAAAAAACACATTAACAAAATTAAAAGGCAAATGGTCAACTATAAAAAACATTTACAATAAAGATGACAGGAGATTAATGTTCTTTAATTATACAGAACTCCTACCTATTGATAAAAAGAAAAAAGCCCCACATAACAAAAACCACCTGCTAAACAAATGAGCAAAGAACCTCAACAAACAATTCGTAGAAGAAATATAGTTTTTAAAAAATTATAAATGCACCTGAAACTGATATAACATGGTGTATAACTAATCAATTTAAAAAAGAAAAGTCAGAGAGGTAGACAGGTTTTTTTAAAATTTTATTTATTTGAGAGAGAGGGAGAAAGAGAAAGAGTACGACCAGGGGAGAGGGGTAGAGGGAGAAGCAGGCTCCCCACTGAGCAGGGAGCCTGATGTGAAACTCCATCCCAGGACTCTGGGATCATGATCTGAGCCAAAGGCAGATGCTTAACTGATTGAGCCACCCAGGCACTGTAGATAGACAGTTTTGAAACGTGAAAAAAATTTTTAATTTAAAAATAAAAATTCTAAATGTATTAGAAAAATATATTTGCATATTAAATAATTTTTTAACATTAGTATTTCATGCAGGAATCCTGTGTTGACACTGGCTCTTTTATGGTGTTTTGTTGTTACCTTTTTAAAAGATTTTATTTTCAAATAATCTCTACACCAGCATGGGATCTGAACTCACAACCCCTAGATCAAGAGTGGCATGATCGGGGCGCCTGGGTGGCTCAGTCGTTAAGTGTCTGCCTTCGGCTCAGGTCATGGTCCTGGTGTCCTGGGATCAAGCCCCACATCGGGCTCCCTGCTCGGCGGGAAGCCTGCTTCTCCCTCTCCCACTCCCCCTGCTTGTGTTCCCTCTCTCGCTGTGTCTCTCTCTGTCAAATAAATAAATAAAATCTAAAAACAAAAAAACATAAAACAAAAACAAAAAAGAGTGGCATGATCTACCAACTGAGCCAGCAGGTGCTCCTCTATGGTTTTCTATGTTGGAAAGTGTGAATTGGCTGGACACCTCAGAAAGTCATTTGAAATTACTACTGAGAATCCTAAAGTGCTCCTATTTTTTAAATATAGTACCTCTATTTCTAGGACTACATTCTAAGATAATAATCAGGTGTGTATACAAGTAACGGACTTCTAAATGCTTCATTGCAATAGTATAATACCAAAATGTGGGGAGTATCTATGTGTCTAACGACAAGGGATATGTTAAATAAATGATAATAAATCTATTATTTTTGGTCCTGGGTAGCCATGAAAAGTTGCATTTCTGAAGAGTATTTATCGGCCACAATATAAAGTGAAATGGAAGAAAGCAGTATATGCAACTGAATAGGAAGTGATGCATGGTCATATTTGGTGCTGGAAAGTCAGGCAGATTGCTTCTTATATGCTTCGAATGTGAGGAGGTTAATAGTAGTATGTCTGGCTGGTAGGATAGCAAGTGATTGTTAATTCCTTTGTATTTCATATTTTAATTTTGAATACACGTATTAGTTTCCTGTAGCTGCTGTAACAAATCACCACAAACTTAGTGGCTTAAACAACAGAAATTTGTACTCTCCCAGG